TTCCTGCATTTTCCGCTGACCAAATTGCGGAACCCACCACACAATCATCTGGAAGGCCAAACCTTCCTCTTACACCACTGTTGATTTTCTTAGTGATCAGGTCTTGTGTTTGACTTCTCACAGCTTTGTGCTGTGCATCATGCAACTTTTGTTGCTTCTGGTCTTTATACCGAGCACTCCTATCAGCCTTATAAGCAGCCCTCTTGACTGCTTGCTTTTGCTTCTTGGCTTCAGATTGGTGTTTAGCCATCTGTTGGAAAAACAAATGGGTGTAAGTATTGATTACCTTGTTTCACCTCAAGCAGATGTAACATATCATCTGATGTTACAGATTTAGGCAGATATTAAAGAGACAATACCTTGATTGGATTGCACTTGTTGGGTAGAATATTTGAAGTGTCTGGATAATCAATTGTATTAGTGTAAGTATTGATTACCTTTTCTCACCTTGAACAGATGTAACACCTCACCGTAACAGCACCACCTGGCTGCAGACAATGAAGAAACAAATGTCAGCATAATGAGCATGCTTCAGCATGATCACCCACATAGAGAATAGATGGAAAGGTAGACCCAGGACTCGTTGATATGTGACTCAAGAGGCTAGACTGGTACTTGGGGCTACCCTCAATTACCTATTCTTACCCCTAAAGAGCTCACATATTCTGAAGCACTGGGTCTATCCCTCCACCCCCTCAACATGAGGTGATCATCTGAAGATAAGATGGAAGGAAATGATTAATAAAATAATACCTTGGTGGAAGCCTTGCCTTGAAGGATGGAATTTTTGAAGTAACAGGGAAAACTGGATTATTGGTGGGGTGAATCTGCTCCAAGATGGACCCAGATCTTATAGAAAACAGGCTCAGGTCCAGCTTGTGGTTTGCATATCATCACATGATCACATGTCTTTGTAATATACATGGCCAGAATGTGGGTAGAACAGGTCATGTGACCTGTTGCGGACACTGCAGTGGCTAAATGGCAGACATATTCAATACCTGATTGGTTATGAAGGAGTCATAAATCAAGTGTTAATAAATGAAGAGAAAATTCAATCAAGCCACACCATTGATATAGGCCGTTGCTATTTGCAACCCACAAAAACACAATGTAGGCGCTGGCCAAATTACGCCTACATGGCTTTTTCCCACGAGAAAGCGCCTTCATTTATGATGTAGGCGTTCAAAACTTTTTAAAATGACACCTACAGGTTAACAAACCCATGTAGGAGTCATTTGGCTACGCCTACAATCTAAGAATAAAATGTAGGCACTATTTTCAAGCGCCTACATTCTCAAATTTCGAATGTAGGCACTTTTTTTGAGTGCCTACATATGCAATTCAAAATGTAGGCACTATTTTGAAGCGCCTACATGGGAAATTCAATGTAGGCGCTCAAAAAAAGTGCCTACATCTTCAAAAAGACATGTAGGTGTGATGTTTTGTAATTTTTGAGCGCCCACATTTCATTTTCTGTATGTAGGCGCTGGCAATTGAGCACCTGCTATGTAGGCGCTTGGAAATTACGCCTACATGGTTTTTAAGGCATTTAGGCATAAATTACAAGCACCTACATTGATTTTTTGGCTCAAATAAGAGCCTACTTGCAGTCTTACATATGTAGGCGCTACAAATCCAGCACCCGCAACTCCAGACTGGTCTGACGGGTAATGAAGAACAATTTTCCAGTCAAAATGAGAGTATTGGAAGAGGGAAAACACAGTTTGGACTTGAAATGAGAGTATCAGAAGATGGGCAAAGCTGTTTGGACTCGAAATGAGAGTATTGGAAGACGGGCAAAGCCGTTTGGACTCCAAATGAGAGGATTGGAATACAGGCAAAGCCGTTTGGACTCGAAATGAGAGTATCGGAAGACGGTCAAAGCAGTTTGGAGTCGAAATGAGACTATTGACATAGCAGTTTGGACTCAAAATGTGTAGTGCATTGCACCTGAAAGAGGGGGCGCAGCATATGTGATTCGGATGTGTCCGGTGGTAAAATGTGAATATTGGAAGACAGAAGAGAGGTTGGACCAAAGTTCCACGCCCACACATGTGTAGGCCCAGTCCCATGCCTCAATACACATGTAGGCGCTTGAAAATTACGTCCACATCCCCCAAAAAGCAATGCAGGCGCTTGAAAATTACACCTACATGTCTTTTTCTGCATGTAGGCGTCATTTTTGAGCGCCTACATGGAATTCCTTGCATGTAGGTGTGATATTCAAAAAATGAGCTGTAGGCGTAAATTTGAAGCACCTACAACTTGAAGGCGTAACCAAATTACGTCTACATTTCATTTCTAGCGTGTAGGCGTAGCCAAATGACGCCTACATGGGTTTTTTGACCGGTAGGCGTCGTTTTAAAATGTTTTGAGCGCCTACATCATAAATGTAGGCACTTTTTTGTGGGAAAAAGCCATGTAGGCGCTGTTTTGGCAGCGCCTACATGGATTTTGTGTGGGCTGCAAATAGAAAGGGCCTTGATATATCAATGAGTCATAAATCAAATACATAATTGACAAAGATAGAATTCAATCAAAGTACACAATTGCCAATTTGATTCCAACAGCATGTTTTATTGCAAGTGACATATTGTATTTAAGGGTAAAATTATAAGTTTACTACTATCCTCTCAGCTAAGTTCCATCTCATCACCATCTTCTTCACCTAACAACTGGATGCTAGCCCCCTTCACCTGTACAGCTGGTGTATAGGCAACAGGAAGTAGTAAATTTGGGTTACCTGGAACCCTAGTACTCCAGTAATATCCAATGTCATAAGCCAAGCATACTGCCAGGGGGATCTTCTGCACATGAACATCATCAAGCTTGGGATTAGAAGTGGAAATGTCACCTTTGAAAGAATTGTAATTCTTGGAACCCAGGCAGAACCAATTTTTGGGCGAGTGTTGAGAAGGTGTGATACAAAATGAAAGCTGTTCTCGTAGTCAGTCAAGTCAGGGTTGGCGGCAAATTTATTGTGCCTTATGACTTCGTCAGCAGCAACAGCGATGGTGTCTTGAAATAAGCAAGAAGCCTCTTGTTGTCAATATTCGGAGGGAGATGCAAGTGGCTTCATTGCACGGTAAATTTGGAATTCCATAGAGGACTTATCCTCTGGAGGGTCTTCTTTGGTTTCATACAACCGTGGGCTCCATATGCCAGATTGGAACAGCAACTCGCCTTCCCGAGGTGAGAAGAAATCAACACCTGCAGAAAGACACATTCAGTGACTAGACTCCAAAAAAGTAAAAAACATTCCAAAACTCACCTTGATCGTTGAGTGTTTGGGTGGATGGAATCCTCAATGTTTCCCTCATCATGAACAATCAACCTTTCTCTGCAGCTCTGTAAAAACTGTCAATTCATCTGGAAATATACACTTGGAAGTAACCACCTTGATTTTCATCAAATGATGGGAACGAGAGCCTTTCAAGCATAAAGTGGAACAGTATCACATCACCATTGAAACTCCTCAGTCATACACTCCTCAGGATCACTTTCACATCAGCCTAGTACCTCTAAGACACTCACGGATGCCCAAATGGAAAGCAGCTTACCCCACCCTAATCCATATTTCAGCTGAAGATCTTGCCAAGCTGAAAGCTATTCCTAGTGGATCTGATATGACACCTGTGAATCAAGTCAAAGCAGTAACCTCTCAGCTCAGAAGACACCAGCAGCAGGGCCTTGGATTCTCACTTGATTGAGAGGATCCACACAATGCTGCATTCACCTCTTTATGGACATCCAAGAGTAGTGCTCACTTCACCGTCTGGACCAACCTTCTGTGTGGGGAGTCATTTATTGCAACTGATCAACAACCAGCTCCTGCCAGTCCTGGAGCTTATAGCTTGAATTGCACATACTCTAGATGCAGCAAAAACCTACAAAAATAGTTATAATATACAAAATCCCAACAGTCAACTGAGAGGCTCTCATACTACTCTACTAATTTGTCTCAAGGGACTCATGGACAATTGGGAGCGTGAAATAGAGGTTCATACTAGGGGACTCAAGGTAATGCGCTGGCATGATACAAAAAGGTCTACTTGTACAAGTGACAAAGAATGGCATTCTGCCGATATCATCATAACAACATTAGGCACTCTGCAGGATGATGATGCAGCCAGTCTTACATACAACACTATATGGTACAGGATTGTAATAGATGGCGCCCAGTAAGTATCTTTTCTCACTGATCAAGCTCCTCTACCCTTGCTGAAATCCTCCTTTTCCTAGTATTATTCGGAATGAAAGTTTTTCCCGCCAATGTGTCACTGCTTTTCAAGCAGTCAATTGATTGTGTCTAACTGGAACACCACTGCACAACCGACTTGGAGACCTTCACATGATGCTCAAGTTTCTACATATAAAACCATTTGACAAGGATTCAGTCTGGGATACACATATTGCTCAGCCGGTTCAGTGGGGAAATTTAGGCCCAATTTCTCAGCTTTTAAGATATATTATGCTCAGGAGAACCAAGGACAGTCACCTTTTTGATTTACTGCCCATTGATCACTCAACAATTGTTTTAGATATGCAACCAGAGGTTAAAGAAGTTTATCAAACTTACTATCAAAGTTTTCTACGTCAATTTGGGGTTGAAAGGCAACAGAAGTTTGACGGAGGCAAATTTTTCAAGCAACTCACCAATCTCAGGATTGCTTGCAACCATCCCCTTCTATTCAGACAAACATTCAAGGGTGTTGTCCAAAAGAATCGACCAATCAATGCAATGGAGGAAAGGCTGGGTATAAAATTACCGGATGAAAGAATCCATGACATCAATGTATGGGATGCACTTTTGACTGACTGGAAACTTAGCAAAAAACTTTAATACTTGGTTCACAAGCTGCAGAAAAAAAATGTAATGGCGGGGGCAAGAGTGTTATATATACTCAGTGGAATTCTTTCATTGATTGGTGACCTGCTGCATACAAATAATATGACCATCAATTCATCGAATAACTTAATTTCCTTACAGGATCATCATGGCATTTGAGGCCTCTGGAATCAGATTCTGTCAGCTGCATGGTAATATGTCTACCTTTGAGAGGACTTGTCAGCTCAATCCCTTCACAAAGGATCCAGTGGTTGAGGCATTTGTAGTCTTGATAGAAGCTGGTGGTGTAGGGTTGAATATGACATGTGCTGATGAGGTTTATTTAATGGTAAGCCACTTTCCTACTTGTGTGCTGGGAAAACTGATGGAGTAGTTGTGAATTTTCAGGATGCCCATTGGAACCCCCAGGTAGTGCAACAAGCAGTGGACCACCTGCACCACATTGGTCAGACTAGGCCTGTAAGAGCCTTTCATGTGGTAACTGGACAATCCATTGAGCAGCATCTCTACAATGTAAGTCAAATAACCACTTTCTCTGCACACAGCTCTTGTCATGGTAGCCCTGACCCCCATAAAACACTTGATTCAGGTTCAGAAACGGAAAGCTGCACTTGCAAAGAGAGTGATTACATTATCAGTCCCTAGTGAGGAACTGGAGGAGTGTTCTGCACTCAAAGTGCAGGAGTTTCCAAAGGGTAATGTAGAAGATGATGGAGATCCCAACAAATGCTACAATAACAGTAGATATTGAAAGATGTTATTTCTTGACTTGATGAAGATGAATCTTCTTGTAACTTTCTCTCTTGTGTCTTTCTCTTGTCTCTAACAGATACACGTGTCAGCCTTTGTAAATTGTTTGTCATAAATCAATACACACATTCTGTTTTGTAAGCTTGAAATTTGTGAAATTGAATTTTCCAAGCTCAATATTACTAGAATCAGTTTAGAGTAAGATTAAAAGCCGATGAGCAGCACAGTATGCTAGTCACAACAAATAAACTACATAGTCACAAGGTCATAATTATTTTATTTTAAATACTAAGTAAGTACTGCATCTGACACACCTATCTGTGGTGCAAAAGGAGTACCAGTCCAGTTGTACTCTCTCAACCTCCCTAATACAAAAGTTAAAACTTCCCAAACATTAGTTGTTCTTAATTCTGAATAATCAAACTGCATGTCTGACATGACTTCATCGACTACACCCGCAAACCACTCAGGTGTCCTACTCCACAATTGTTCTTGGTCTGGATAATCCTCCTCAATGATCTGTTCAATTCTAACTCCAGGAACCTCAATCAAGAAATCTACACAATTAAACTCGTCCGCTAGGTTATATTAGCAATAGATAGCACTGCATCCAGTTGGCAACCTAGAGCGGTTATCTTTACACCATTGAAAATTATTTGTGCAGTCAGTGTAAGTGTCTAAAGCTTCCTGGATTGCAGGAATGTAGAGCTGCAGGAACAAGAGTCTAGAAGACAATGGTTTAGTACAAGAGACACTTGACAAAATTCATAGATAATCTCACCTTTGCATCAGATCATCAGAATCATAATCACTGTCAGCAATCCTTTGAGCAATATCATCTTTCAGATGACCAGTGGCTGAATTTTGCATCTTCTCCCAAGCAGATTCAATCCAGTATTACTAGTAGAGGGAACATATCTATGGTACCGGAAACCAGGGGTTTGAGTGCCGTATTGCTGTCCAAAGTACATTTGATGACCAGCAAGGTCAATGGTCTCAGTACCTTGGTCAGTGGTGAGTTTTTGAGGGATGCCACCGTGTTTCTTGACAAGTTCAAGATACAATAAATCAACATGTCAAGGGTCACTGTTGGTAACATGAGCATGGAGACCTAACAGTTTCCAAGACCAACAGTCAATGAAGCCATAGATTCCAATTCCATAAGTCATCAATTTATCATGTCTGTCACATGCCCAAACCTGGTTAGGACCACCTGCATAATATTGTTGCCTTTTCAGTTTGTGAGCCTCTCTGACTTCGACCGTGTCAGGATTGATGACTTTCAAAATAGCAGAGATAACATCATTAGAATAAAGCGGAAAGTTGAAGAGAAATGAAAGGTCCAGAAAATTCATCAGACATGATCAAGGAACGGATGTAGTCATAGATTAATTACCGATGAATATGATGGTTATGATCTGCCATGAGTTTTCTCTTGATACTCTTGATACCAAGAACATGACCAAATTTTTCCTCCATTTGATTTATTAGTTGCACAAGCTCATCATAAGTAATTTTGTTGAGATCAAGATCATCTCGTTTCCGATGAATCTGAAGTCTCTTCTCGTGGCGAGCTAAGGTGGAGCGGCTGATGTGGATTTTGTTTTTGTTTTTCATTGAAATGAGGGTTTGTTTTTGATTATAACTTTTGCTGTGCTTGTCTAACACAGCTTGCTTCACAGTCTCTTCATCATACTGAATTTGGTGTTTTACTCCCCATGCCTTGATATGTCGGCGGATGGTTTGAACACTGATCTTGATTTGGTGTGTTTGCCAGATGTTGTCTGAGACTGATTGTGCCCTCCATTTGTTGTCATGAGCTTGCTGAAGGATAGGGTGTAAGATGGCATTGGCGAGTTCTATTTGGCCAGGCATGATGAGATGGATTGAAGATAAGAGTGAGAGATTTGGCAATGAATAATTGATTACGTAACTTGTGTCAAAGTGACAGTCCAAGTTGAAGTGTGAATGTCAGCTGTGGGTGATGAGTTTTTGAAATTATGAATAGGTTATGTGTCTTCCGATGCAATGGAAACAGGAGTTTGACATGACTATGGTTGACTTGTGGGACACAATATAAGGTTTGTGTTTTATGTTTTTTGAATTTGTGAATTTTGTAAACACAAAATTTGATTTTTGGCATTTCCATGTAATAACTGTGCCAAAGTGCCAACCAAGCGGTGAATTTCAGAGTTGTGGTTCCGAAAGTTGTGAAAAGTGGCAGAAAACATTGTTTTAACCCCAATACAGGAACTTTTTGACCAGTAATTGAGTTAAATCTGATGTTTAATCTGGTTTTCTCAGTTTCTGACCCAAGGATTCTGAAATTTCAATTTTTGAAATTTGATTTGGCACTTTGACACACCTCGCATTCCGTACAAACATATTATACTATAGTGTAATTCCTTCCAATACAGCACACCATTTTGAAAAAACACACCACCCAAATGAGTGTTGAGTGATTACCACCACTAAAGCAACAATTGACCTCCAGAAAAAATCCACCATCTCCCCCTTCCATATTAACCTCTATCATAGCCACCATATTTGATTTTTTACAGCCCTCCCCCCAGATCAGATGACATCTAAAACTTTTGGGAGACATCTGGCAAAGAATCAAAAGAATGTCCTCCTGGATGAAAACGGTGTGTTCTTCTATTTAGTTCAGCTTTGATTTGACAATGCATACTGATTGTTCTTTTTTTAGAGTCGAATGGCACCAATAGTGATGATGAATCACACAACTCTTCATCATCATACCAAAGTAAGTCACAAATTTATCATTTCTTGTGTAGCCCACTACTTACTTTTTCACTTGACCTATCCTCTGATGACTAGAAGAATCTGATTCTGAGTCAGACAAATCTGGACAAGAGGCGGATCCATAAGATGGGGAAGAAATACCCTTGCCAAAAAAGTGGTGTAGACAAGGCAAGGTGGCCAGCAAATCAAGCAAGAATCCTCACCAGGAAGAAAAATTGCCTGTCTCTGACGCAGCTGCTAATCCTGTTGATTTGAATGGCTTCCCGCTCCCAAAAAAGCCCATCACCAAACCTACCCTGTTCAACTATGAGGAACTAGCTGACAAATGGACTGACATGGAGCTTGAACATTATCTACGCTGTGCAAAAGCCTCCGGTCACAATCAAATTCCTGTTGATATCCTGGCCAAAGCCAGGGCTCTTGAGGAGAAACTTATAACACACCTGAAAGTATTGAGTCTGGCTGGGGGGATTACATATGACACACTCAGATATGGGGTGTTGCATTGTTTATCTTGTTCTCCAAAGCAAAGGTTTTGTCTAATGGTAATTTTTCTTTTCAGTCATTGCGGAGGACACAATTTGGACATCCCACCCTACCATCTCTTCCGTAAATTCAGCTTGGTTGCAACAGTCGACAAAAAAAGTATGTAGTCTCTTGTTTCATGGCATGACGGACCATAATAAAAATGAGCATCTTTTTGTACAAAACCAGTGCCTCAAGTGGTTCCACCAAACAGTGAAGAACTCAGTCCAGAGGAATTGGACTGTCTTGCAACTTACAGCGACATAGGTTGTAACGCTTGGAAAGAACTCAAGCTAACTAGTGATGTTGCCATATTCCAAAAGATGTTGTTTGATCGCATTGCTCTTGTAATAACCAATGATCCAGCCCACCTTCAACCTCACAAATCACTAACTGTCGAAGAAGCAGAATACTTGCCTGTCTTTGAACGCCTCATCAACATCAAGAAGGTCAAAGACCATATGGCTTTGAGCCGTACAACTCAAATTGCAAAGTATCAAGAAAAAGGAATTGGAGAAATTGAACAAATACACTCATTGGTAGGTTTTTAATTGAAATTCAGTATGATCCACCTGTGCTAATGTCACTTTGAATCATAGCTTCAGGTGACTCACAAGGCATACGGAATTCAATACCACCTCATGGGGGCAATCTTGTGTACCTTGCTACTTTCTCTTCTTGCAATCGTCTCCTGGAGAGATTCAATCACTATGGCACCACACGCAATACCACCTCAAACCATAAGGCAAAGCTTACTGGTTCTGGTGTCAGTCCAAATGACCAGTTGGGCAAGGACTTTACCTTGGAATTGAATCATCTGGTTTGTAAGTGTTTTTCATTTGGAGTTGGCACCTATCTCACATTCAGGTTTTTGATCACTCACTCTGATTGGTCATGATCTAAGTAAACCACCTTGAAAGTGTCAATATCAAACTCATAAAACCAGAGTCCATAACCATTCAAAGAGGAGCAACTGTGATGTTGTATTACAAAGTACCATCTTTCCCAATGGTATTAAACTGGCTGTGCATCAAACCAGTGACTCAAAGGTGACCACAGAGATGCTATCAGCAGGCCCTGCAGCAATCATGAATGATAAAGATTTGATGCAGACCTGGTACCAGGATATCTTGGCTAGACGGTATACTGTAAAAGCTGTTACACCTGTTACTCCTGCAGAAAACCACCAACCCATGTTGTAGTGAACTAACCCTTCAATATCCCAATAATGTGGTTCAAATCTATCCAAAGTAATAATCATGCACTTATTTGACGTTTCCTTCTTTCATCTTCCAAAGATTCTGACTTTTCATGAGCAACCACTAGAATAATGGATTCTTGTGCGTGAGGTGCCCAAATCATTGAGCAATCATTAAAAATTAACTTGGTCCAAGCAATTCAAACAACATCACTTGACTTAAATGGCAGCACCCTGCCCATTGAGTGCAAAAAAGGGCTGTGTCCACGACTCAAACCGGGGGTCTCTAGTGCCTGGCTGCTTTGGTAGTCAGCAGGATCAGCTTCTAGCAGAGTGGGACACATTACTCATATCCATCCTCCTGGCTCTTGGGTGTTCCCAACAAATATTGCAGGCAGGATTTGGTGTTACTCTGGTTATGCGGGACCTGTAAGTGGTACCTGTAATTACACTTGTTATTGGTGACACTTGTGTCAAGTGTCGCCAATTCTTAAATTTCTATCATATTAATTAGTTAGGGCAAGAGCTGGTTTTCCTTTCCCTTGTTTCTTTGATCCCTCTCTATTGGTCCCCTTTCCATAGCAATTGCCACCATCACACTTCAATCACTTCAATCTTTTACCTTCCAACTGCACTCACTATCACTATACTTTGAAAGGTAAGTGCTTCCCTTCTTTACAATTTCACCCAGTATTCCCATCACTTCACCACTTCCTCATTTCCTTTGTTTCCACCAGATAGAGTTTGCTCCATTTCCTTTCCATCAAACTGAACCATCACTATACACTTGAAAGGTAAGTGTTCATTTCCTTCCCACATCTGATTCACATCAAACCATGACTTCCACATTCCCAGTGGTGCAGGACTGATACTACTCAGGCTGCAAAGACCACTACCGTTGCAACATGGGGATTGATAATATTCAAGTCCATTACACAACATTCCACCTCCGTTCAATTATACTTCTTTCACCCATGTATTTGTTTTTTAATCTTCTTTGTGTCATGATGCTCATCAATACCTTGTTCTTTCCCAGAATGCCGGCCAACAGAAAGCAGTACTGAGAACCTCAATGTCTGATTGAACCTTACCCAGCAGCCAAGGGTAACAGTAAAAGGACTTCACATTTGCCTGAAGAATTCAAGCCCAAAAAGCCTGGACATCACTACCAAAACCATTTCAACTACAACTCGATGATTGACCAACACATTTGGCAATTGCTAGAAGGTGTCACTCCTGAAGTTATTGACTTCGACCTGGCAGTTTCTTTCTTTCTTTTTGAAACTAATCACCTCACACTACCCAATATCCCTCAATTGGTCAACATTTTCCTCCAGGATCGTGATACCTTGTTCCCCATTAACAGTCGCCAAAATGACATTAGGAGATGTGCTTTATACATCAAGTCAACCATCCAAGCCCACAATTCTCAACCTGGTTCCACTGCCCCTTTTGGTCTTTGCTATCCCAATATGAAAGCCTTACAGCACCACCAACTTAGATGCCTCAGGTCGGGAGATCCAAGGTATTGTCGGATGCAAATCCTCGGACAGATCTTATTCAAGGTTTCTGTCCAAGGTATCATTATGCGCCAAAGATTACCTCCAATCAAAACCTCGGAAAGCTCCTGTCTAAGGTTTCAGATCCAGAACACCTCGGGTTTTGGAATCCGAGGTCAATATGTTGGCAGTGCAGACTCTGATTGCAGAGATATCTAAGTCTCCCCGCTCTTTGGCTTTGAATAAGGCTATTGTTTTGGTGGACCTTGCTGGACAATTCCTTGCCATGGGCCTTGCTCCCAATGCAAACGCATTAGCTGCCGCGGTTCATTGCTCACTCAGTCTTCTTAAGTTCACTATGATTGAATATTTTACTGATATAACCTCTATGGCTTTGCCTTACAGGCAAGCGGCCTCAAAGCTTTGGAAGGCTCTGCACATTTACATGCCTTTCCTGCTTTCATCAGACCCATTAACAAAGACCTACTAGAACCAAAAAACTTGTCTTCCACCATCCACAGCCCTTTTGACCCTTCCATTTCAGCGACCACACGCCACTCAAACCTTGGCAACTATCCTGTTCCTGTGCCTGGGGCGCTACGTGGAAAACTTGCCCATGAGTCCAACGGTGTCAGTCTTGGATCTGTAAGTACATTCATCTTAAGCTCACAACCAAAGCACCCAGTCCATTGCAAGCCTTCAAGCTGACCACATATGGAACAAGGCCAGTGCCCTGGCTGACACCAAGATGGAACTAGGTTTTGAATGTCAGGGTTACAGGCTTGAAGAGTGTGGCGACTGGCCCGATTCTGACCACAATCTCCCACAAGTCATGGCCCTGGGTGAGGATTGTCTTTTCAAGAGAGTTATTAATGCCAGAAGAATTCAAGAAATGCACTGGGCTTACAAAGTATCCCGAGTTATCAACGCTGAAGTCCAGCCTGATACCTATGAAGTGGCTGAAAAGGTTATCAGCTACCTCAAAGAGAACTCTGACCCACTGTTTGTAGAACACCTTGAAAGAACAGACAAGCACATCATTCATGGCAAGTGATACTCATCTAATGCTCGTCACATTGGTTTGATGTTAACAGATTGTATGATTGCTTCTCAGGACAACATATTAATTTTAATATACAAGTAGCACCTCATTGGGATGGCAAAAACTCAAATCCGATTGATTCAGTGTTTGCTTATGGTCAGGACAACTCAGCTGGGCACTGGAATTTTGGTTTGCTAGGTGTAAGCTTTTGTGCTGATCCTGGCTATTCTTTACATGCCTGCTTCAAATTTCTGGATCACTCTGTTGCCACCATACTTCCCATTGTAGACAGTAAGAAACTACCTTTGCAAATATCCATGGCTTTGTACTCACACGCCAATGTGTATGCCAGCACAGCTAGAGTTTCTGGTGCTAGAAGTGGTGGCTTTGGGCGAGCTCAATATATTGATGCTTCCATGATGTTACCCTTTCCACCCGCCCAATTTTTGGTACCAACTTGCAGGAAGCTATTAGAAGAGAAGAATACCGGTGGAGGCACAAGGCACGTGTCCATTCTGCTGCCCATCAAGCTTCTCAAAGTTATGTATCTGGCCTATGAATATAGTGATATATAGTTTCCTGGTAGAATTACAGATATTCAATTTGTTGGTTATGGCTTCAACTCTTTATAGAACAGATTTGCAAATGGAACAGATTTTCAATTTGTTTGTTATGGTTTCAACTCTTTATATAACATATTTTCAATTTGTTCTTTACAGTCCAAGTGTTTGTATTCCATATAAAGACTTGATTGATTTTATATGGTGATGTTATGTAAATATGGTGATTAGGAGAGCTTTCTGAAATTATAATTGTTGTAAACACACATCAAATATGATTGGGTCTACCTGAAATCATGATAAGGTAGCCATAAAGGTGACTTGGTTCTGTTCTATGATAAGGTATGTTGAAGGTGACTCAGTTTTATGATAATGTATGTGTTGAATGTGACAATGTAGGAACAATTCCAAAACAGTGTGCTCCTAAAGAAATTAAATATGGCATTACCTTCTCAAGGCTAGCTTCAGCTGGGCAGCTTGGCCGCACAGCCAAGAGGCCTTAGTCTTAGTAATAAAGAACATTGACGGTAAGACCAGCTGTGTTGCTTTGGTTTAGGTAACAATACAAGACCAGGTTGAGGAGACTTAGGGTTATTGATCTATTTCCACTTTTCATATCATTCCATTATGTGACGTATCTATAAGAGAGGTGGTTGTTTATAATTTTTTTGGAAACGTGACCATATTTATGAATCTCGTATAGTTATGAAGATGGTTCAAATATTTGTTTGTTAAAATATGTGGTCTCTAAAGGTGCAAATATACATTTTTATCTACAAAGTAAAAGGTGAAATGTTCAATCCAAAAATGTGGTTATAAGATAAAACAAGGATTGTTTCTTGCAATCTTTATAAATTCAATCATTCAAAATCATCTTTGTGACTGTCTTCCTAGCCAGGCAAAACCAAGAATGACTTAATTACCTTTGCTGTAGGGTGATTATGTGGCAAACTCCATTGGAATTGATGCAACATACTCTATGTCGCATCAATGTTGTGGTGACTTGCATTTATCTAACATCACTTACTTGGATTGAGTGTTGTGGTGACTTGCATTTATCTAACCTTACTTACTTTGATTGAGTGACCTCCGCAAAAAAAGCGTATACCACACCACGTTATGGAAACTACATAACATGTTTACATTTCCATATAAGCAAACATGCCATTTCTCTTGAATGATCTTCCTCAGACCAGGTTTACTAAGTTTGTTCTTACTAAGTTTGGTCTTTCGTCATTTTATATTTGACTAGTACATTCGGGCAGCGGGCGCCGCTTCAATGAATTGGCGGCTGGCGCCGCTTTGGTTCACGCAATTAAACTCCAACCCCCTCGGACTCATACAAAACTTGTTAATTTGTCCCTTCAACATCAGGGAGCGAACTGATAATAAGGCATGAATAGCAAATTAAGCCAAATATACATGAGCATTTGTTCTCAACCCAATTAACAGTATAGATATGTGCCTATGCGGTTCTGAATACAACTAAGGTCACGTGCTCAGTCAGATGATTGAAGCATTGCTGTTGAGGACAAAGTCCATGTGAGCAATACCACGCTTTTGACACTCGAACGCAACATAAATCCTAATACCACTCCCATGTTCAACTTGAGTATGAGTCGATGTGATATCATCTGTTGGGCAATGATAATTCCGTCGCACGATTGGTAGTACAAAGTATGCGTAGTTACCCTCCGAACCTGCTGGCATGTTTGTCCACCAACCCAGAACATGATACAAATTGGAGTTTCAACACATGTTAGCAAGCTGCCTGCAAATGTATTAGGCTTGTAGTATAAGCTTATAACTCACAAAATTTTTGAATCTGTATGTTTGACACCCGCTCCGCCACCATCGACCAGATGCAGTTCATTAATTGGGCACGGTTTGGGGTAGTACACGTCAGCATGGATTAAACTGATGAAGACGTGGAAACCGGGAAATTTGGAGTAGGGATTGGGAGTTTTGGGAGTTTTGCCGCTGAACACGGTCTTCCTTTAACTTGTATGATGCTTATATATAACTCCATTTGTTGGTTGTTGGATGACAAGATAAAATATCTGACAAAGAATACAATGCTAAAACTGATGATCCTAAATAACCTGAACTAAGAAATTTAAAACAAAGCGGATCCATTCTTCTGTTTTCATTTTCAACAGCAATGAAATTTGGTTGGTCTAATGGATGGTATTTAGTTTGATTTATCTCATTAATTGAATCACATAATTTATCAATTAATTGATCAGTTATGTCAACGCCGCCAAAGATACGGTACTGGTATTGTACCGGCAATACCAGTACCGTACTCGCTCTCACAGTACTCAGATCTACAGTACCTGATATCGTACTTGGGCTCGGGTACAATATCAGATACCGTACCAAAGCCAACGATACCATAAAAAGGATAGCAGGAGTGCCGTACCTTCGCTTGCCAGAAGAGTACGGTACTATACCTTATCATGGGATAGTGAGACGATACGGTACAATACCACGTACCGTGCAAAAAAACAAACACGTTGCCGTACCGTACCGTTGAATTTCATAGAAAATAGAAAACAGATGAAAAAAATAGTAAAAGGACAAAATGGACGTTCACTTTCTTCTCTCTCACACACCCTGGTCCTTTGAAATACATTCCCCCATCATTTCTTGTGCAGCTTCAAACTTGCCTTTCATCTTTACCCCCTGTACTGACCACAAAAGGCCCCCAACTGTGCGCTCAATGGTATGCGGCTTAAGAGACATTCTATTGTGGGAGTACACATCAGCCGACGCAAAAAAACTTCTCTCAACGGGGCATGCAGTGGCACTGATGGCCAAGTAGTCACGCGCAACAGTACTGAGGACTGGGTATTTGCCTTTGTTCAGCTGCACATAGATTCAATGGAACGGTAGAGGTAGATCAGAGTCTGAAAAAGAATTAAAGATAGAGAGAGAAACCTACCCTCCACCAATCCAAAGCTAAGTGTGGGTTCTCGCCCACCTCGGGTGCAGGTTCCTCCGCCATTTCTAAATAGGATCAAAGTTCATTGGCCGTGTTTCAACGGTTTTGTTCCTTGTGCTTGCGGAATTCCTCGTCATCCTCTCCCAGCTTCTTGCTTTGACCCACTGAACTATTTACTACAGTATTAGCATTACATCCACTATCCTCCATATCAGCCTTACATTGAGTGTAAGCGGCTTCAATAAGATATTTTGCCATAGCCGTCTTGGTAAAACCCACTCCAAAGGCAAAATTGAAGTAATCTAAGTGTAGGCTTGGATGCAAGATGGTCGCGAGAAAGATGACATGTGATCCAAGGGCTTCCTTCAGGTATGATTTCACTCGTACAAGCATGGTGTGGTGCTTTGGGAAAAGAGGATCTGCTTGTGATCTGGTAGCGTCAATCTTCTTTTGAAGTGCCTTCTGGAGCTTGACGTACTCCCGAATGACTAGTGAGGCAGTTGGTCCATCTTGTTCAAAAAACTTGGTCAAGTGTTTGAACTCCTACAAAAACCCATAGTGAGTAAGTGTAAGTGATAGTTTGAAATATGATGTGATATGAATCACCTGTAGAAGTTCCATAATATCCCGTATTTGTCTCCATTCTCAGGTGAAATCATCACTTTGTTGAATATGCCTTGTGGTTGATTGACACCGGGAGGTAACACGGTCTTGGCAGCTCTAACGGGTTGACCTCGGTGAGGTTGCTCCATTTGGTCTTCTTTTAGGATTTGATCGATAACCTAAAAATGTTTATTTGTTAGTATGGTTTGAAGAGATGAGATCTTTGTATGAATACTTACTTTGCGGGCGTTGTACAACCAACTCCAACACTGTAATTTGATGTTCCATCTAATCTCATAACCAGGGATTGGCCTTGGAAGTTTCTGCTTCAACAGAGCGTTGCTGACTGCATCAAACAGCATACACATCACTGCTGAACCACCAATCTTACGCCCTACCACATCAAGCTAAGGTGAAAAATACATGTTTGTGTTATGATCTCACATGTCAACACTCTGTGACATTACTTTATCACATGTCACTAAGTAGATTACCACATCAGTTGTGCGTTGCACCAGTTGTACATTCCTCATCTGACAATCTACCTATATAGCCAGAACCAACCTTGCTGAGCCACAACTCTTGTCGAAGAACCCCCGATCCTGGCCTTAACATATTGTCAGATCATCAACAGACAAGCCTCGAGGCATCAAGCACAGATTAGACTAGTATCGAATTTCAGAACGCAGATTTAGAGATAGACCATCAGAAACCCCACCAATCACCAGCGATTTAGATTTAAAACTTACCGAAGCATCGGATTTAGAATTGAGAACACATTAGAAACCTTGATATCAGATTCAAACTTAATCGAAGACTCCTGCAAGTTAAACTTCAAGAATAGATCAGCCGATATATTAGAGTTTAGAATAGATCAGAATCTTCAAAGTTAGATTAAAACTACCACTTTGAAAACCCTACAAGACATCAATCACGTCTCCTTCGTACAGAGCCCCACAAGACGACGACGATCTCGACAGTGACTCCGAGCCAACCTTCGTCGACGTTCCTACCGAACAATCCACAGAACTGCAGGTCGCTCATCCCCGCATTCCTGATTCAACTATGGAAGAGATTCAACGGCAGATCCTCGAACTCCAGAACTCATTGGCGAATGAAAGGTCCCTCCGTGAACAAGCAGAGGCTAATCATCGCCGGGCCGAAGAACGCTTAATCGCCATTGAGTCGCAACAAGCTAGACAGAGTTCTACGGCTAACGCGCAATCTGCGACGAGCCCCGGCCACACTCCTGCTGCTACAAGCGTTCCGGCTCCTTATTCTAACCTAGCACCAGTCCCAAAGGGACCTAAGGTAGCGGTACCTGACAAATTCAATGGAATTCAAGGAGGACCCGCCGAAGTTTTTGCGAGCCAGTTACAACTCTATATGATGGCGCATCATTACTTATTCCCAGATGATCGAAGTAAAGTAGTGTTTGCGTTGTCTTACCTCACGGGACCCGCAAGCG